AATGGAATAAATGAAAAAAATTTTTTGAACATGCATTTATTTTGGTGGGGAGATAATAATTAAAATTAATCTAGTTAATCAAAAATAAGCAGTTCATTAAAAAAGATTAGCGGTGGATTATGTAATTGTATGTAAACTAAATTAAAATTAAACATGAAATTTATTTTTTTAATTAGTTTATTTTATTCAATATATATGCATAGATGTTTTATAACATTATTTTGTTTTCGTCATTGTATAATAATTAATATATGTTGTGGAATCGTTTCAATTCAAAAATCACACAAGTAAATGTGAGGTTATTGGGTAACGTTTGAGTGCAATGACACTTTTTTGATTGGCTAATTTTTTATTTAAAGTGTTTTCTTTATTTTCGAAGCACAACATATATATGTACACGTATTCAAAAGATCCATTCATCATTCATTTGAGAGAATTAATTTTTATAATAACTAAAAGAAATCAATGACTTGTTTATTGTTGTGTGTTATTAGTAATTATCATCGCTCGTTAATTAATCATCACAACAACAATTGTTGTATATCATCACCTGATGATACATTCTACAATCTTAAATTAAATGGGGATGATCATCAACCACATTTTCCTTTCTTTGACCATTTTGAAGAAATTGATAACAACAACAATAATGCTTCATTCGGCCCATCAATGTACGATGTGACAGACATGACGAGAACTTTTTCAAGCGAAAGTGGTGGGAGCTGTCCCGATCTTACCAATTGTAGTCACCCTAGCATATGCACAACTCCTTTAATTTCATCACCACAAGATCAATCGCCCATAATGACAAGTCAACTACTTATTAATCATCTTCATCATCATGATAATAGCAGTAGTAACAATGTTAGTTTCTGTTCTTCAATATCTTCTTCTTCACCATCTCCCACACTATCATCGTCAATAACATCATCACACATTGGCAATCTTGGTAATAATAATGGTAACAATAATAACAACAGATCTTTAATGCCAATTCCACCAGTAATAATTACTTCTCCACCTTTAACCACCATATCACCAATTTCTATATCAACAAATCATAATCATAATATCTGTTCTTCCACTTCTTCTGACATTAATGATGATGTCGCTCCTACGCCTAAACGGCGCGGTAGAGCAAAAGGATCACGTAAA